GATTCAGAAATGGAATATAATCAGGCGAGCGCTTCGTTCCGCAGGTTCGAGGGACGACAGCCGGAGGCGTAAGCCCGGGGCCTTCCACGCGGATATTGAGTTCAGCCCGGGTTGCTATGGAGACGGGCCTCGCGGCAACGACGTTTCTACGGCCCGAGCCTCCTCTACTCGTTAACGTTCGTTCGAGCTACTAGCTGAGGTGGTCCCCGATCGTTTTTCTTTTTTTTCGTCCTCTTTTGGCTAATTTCGTCCTCTCCTGCACGTATTTTTGGAAGTTTGAGGAGAGCCGGGGATTTTCCAACTAAGCCATTCGATCGCTACCACTTTGCGACACTTGGCTTATCTTGCTTTAACGAATCTATCGTTTGCATCAATTCCACTTGTTTTGACTTTGATGTTATATAGCGTTTTATTATGGATTCACGGCATCTCGGAATTAGCATCAATAGACGAGCACAAGAAAACAAATACTTTTCAAGGACTTCAATAATAATTTAAAGAATCGTAATCGCATTTATAAACATAATTATATTTCATGATATTTGAAATATCTTTAATCAATATTTCGAAATTACATTTGTAATTGAAGGAAGTTAAGTTTAATGAGGTTTAACGTTGATTTTGAAGCCGAAGCATTTCAAATGACTATTGAAAAAGTTATTAGCCTTTTTCTTAAAATAATTTTCTTTTCAAAAAAAATTTTAGTATTTAGAAAAGATGTATTTTAAACAAAACGGCTCTTTGTTTCGCCTGCTGTATTTCATATTAAATAAAGATTATTAAATTAATATTGATGTAATATACCACACGCACGCACGCACGCACGTACACGCACACGCACACACACACAGTCAGACAGACAGACAGACGGACAGACAGACAGACATATTAAATATGTTAAAAAAGAGTATTTACATTTTAGGTTTATGTAGCTAAGTTGCTTTAAGAAAATCTTCACATTGCTTTCGAAATTACTAATCTAATGTTTGAGAAAAAGGCTTTTAACGGTTTCAGGTTTATTTCAAGTTTAAATAACGACCGCTTATCTATAAATAAAATTTGCCTCTTCAGACTTATATGCATCGTATATCGTTAATTTCAGACTCATAAGTAATATCACCATCTTCCTCAAATATTTCTAGAATATCAATATTACTTTTAAAACCTGCATCATATTTTTCCGCACACCTTACACATACTTCTAATGAATTTTATAAAGCTATAAACAGTTTGAGTCTTGGTTTTATTCCTTAAGTTATTAAAAATAGTCTGTAATAATCAACTCCTTGATCGGCGGCTTACGAAAAAGAAAAACTATTTCGATTAAATAAATAACAATAATAAATAATTCATTAATAATTACTCAAGAATAATTAATAATCATTAGTGAAATATACAAATGCTACAATTGATTTAATGATAATAATTAATTAACGTTAATCATAAGAGGAAAAAAAACCTAGTTTCCTATGTAAAAATATCTAAATTCGTAATAAATAATAGCATTTCCGTAAATGGCCCGTAAATCTTTTCAGTGAAACCGCTATGGAAACTTAGCAAGCAAGATACTATTGACATGCCACAATAAAAAAAAAAAAAAAAAAAACAAACTATTTTTCTGGTTTCGTTTTCAAGGTTTCAAAAACACTTAAAAATCTATCTGAAGTATAATCATACAAAGAAGCATTTCTCTTATATTTTAATATAGTGATTTCTTTGGAAATTTCTCTGAAAAAGATAGATTAATTATTATAGCACAGGATTTGGGGGTGGGGAGGGATAGGATAGTTGATAAATAGTTGATTCGAGGAGCAGATAAATATACAATTGTCTTATACAGTAATAAATGTTTTTATTATCATTAAGTTTGATCGTACTTATAATACTAGATACATTTCTGAAATATCTTATCGATATATCTATTATATCATAATATTTTTTATGTATATATATATATATATATATCTCACCACCTGAACCTCTAAAAATTCATTCGAAGCAAAGCGTTTTTCATATTATAGACATTATGTGGTTGGTATAGAAACACATCAAATACCTTTAATTTTTTTGTTGGATTTAACTAATTGCTCAATCGTACCATTAGATTTTTCTTAATGATTAATGTACTTTGTGAGATCAAAATGCTTATTTTATGTTAATAACAATCGATTTTCCTTCGTTGTTTAATTTTCATTTTAAGCGAGAAACATATTGAAATTAAATTTATAAAGATATCATCCTCATAAATATTGTTTGTTTTAATTTTCTTTTATATTCGCGATGCAAGAATATGATATTTACAAAATAATTATTCGGATAAATTGAATATATAGTTATATTTCTTTCATTTGTGAGGCGTGTTATATTAAAGGAAACTTCTTATTCATTCATGTTTATTATTAATTTTATACATTTAAAAAACATAAATTATATATATATATATGTATGCATATACGTATATATCTATATATAACAATATTATATACTGCATAATATATAATGCAATTCTATATTATATAATTGTTATATTTATATATAACATGATCATTATCAATACATGATATTAAATATTTATTAATAATTCAATTTTTTGCATTTTTATAATTTTATTTAATGTGAAACTAATTTAGCATTATTGTTTAAATTTACAAATATTGTAGCCTTCGTTTGAATGTGAACATGAAACATTTCATTATTTGTAATTTTATTGCATTAAGCGAATTGAAAGTTGCAGAATTTTTTTTGTTTAGACCGTGATGTATACAATATATATATATATATATATATATATATATATATATATTACATTAAAAAATATACTTTTCGATTTGCAAATATTCAAGTTGCACTATTGCAATATTTATATACGTAAACAAATATAACGCAGTTCAATGAATTTTGTAATATGACGTATTAAATATTTTTTTTTTTTTTTTAATTTTAGATACAAATAATTAATACCAATAGTGTGGCAAGATTTAAAAATTATTTCAAATATATTTCACTCGAATTATGGAAAATGCATTCTTAATGATATAAACATTATGTTTTTAAAATAATTAATCAATTATTAAATAAGCATTTTTTTACGCTATTCTTATATTATAGTGTATTATTTGCTATTTTTCTTAGATAATTTTATTTGTTATTATTATTTTTTTTATTTTTTATTTACTTTCAATGAAATTCGTTAATTTACTAATTACAGCGTCGATTATTTTAATGGATATGCTTGTAATTCATTTTTTAAATGCGAAATATCCTATTAGTTAAAACTTGTCCATAAGCAATAAATAGAAGTATTCTTTTCTACGTTGTTATATTAGCATAAGGATTGAAGATCTTATTTTAATTTTTTTTCTCCTCTTTAAACTCCGTGAAATCTAGTGCAAAATAATACTTTGCAATTATCGAAAATCAATATTAACATTTTCGTTTATAAAGTTATCAAGATATCTTTATGTACGTCAATCATTATCGATTAAAGATCACAATGCTTTGTTAAGAAATCAATTAGAAATCATGGATCATATTTGTTGGTAAATTTAATAATAAAGAAGATTATGCAGCGATTACTACGATTAATATTATGATCTTATGCATACGTTATTTCGTAATAATATAAAAAATCATATCGCATCACAAAATAATATTGTTTTTAACAAGTTGATAGCTTATCTTATCGCTTTATGCTACTGTAACTACATAACTCAATGATAATGACGAATGAACTATTACGAAATAATTCTGAATTCTTTTCATTCATTATTTTTATCATTGGCATCCTCTAACGACATTAACATACTGCTGTAAAATCAAGTTTGTTTCCCACCGTTAATTAAAAAACAAACAACAATAATAAAATAAATCAAAAATAAAGAAAGGAAATAAAAAAAAAAAAAAAAAATAAAAAAAAAACAAATAAAAAGTAAAAGATATATTACTTATCAGTACTATAAAAGAGATTAGAGTCCGTAGTCCTTGAATTAACGTAGGCGCAGAAGTAGATGAAAAGTCGCTAACTTTGTTGAAGGAAAGTAACTAAAGTGAAAACAATATGCCAGGCTGCAGACTGCATATTATTATAGGTTTGACGAACATTGAGTCGCGCAAAGGAAGGCCCAGTTTTCCGAATGGTGTCCCCGCTACGTTGCAGCATTAACTGATTTATGTATTTACAGACAAACGTAGTAAAAGAAAAAAAAAAAGAAAAAGGCAAGCGCTTTTTTACTGCGATTCGCTGCCCGCGCGATCCATTTCTCAAGATAAGAAGCTCCCATCGGGCGTATGTTGAGAGCAGCCAGATCCAATGAGAACCGAGTGAAATGGTTGTCCGGGCGCTCCGACGACAGAACCAAAAACTAACGGACGGGGGGGGGGGGGGGGGGGGGGGGGGGGGGGGGGGGGGGGGCGGGTCTGGGTAAGTCGGAACTCGTTGAACTCGGTCGGAAATTTTTACTCGAGCTCTTCGTTTGCACGCGCTCTCAGGACCGTCTTCCCCTGCTGGTCGAGTGGCTCTTGGTGCCAGCAGCGTCAAGTATTGTTGATCAGCAGAGACCTGACGAAGAGGTACTCCGAGAACTGCTGGCCCTCGACACCACCGCCGTTGCTCGCGGCTACTCGGAATCCCGCGTTCAGCAGCCTCGTGATCGCCTGGACGCTGTTGAGCTTGCAGTAGCCATTGAGGGGGAAGCGTATCACGTGACGGGTTTCCTGTTGGTGCCAGGTGACGCCCGAGCGAGCCTCGAGAATCGTCTGCGTCGTCTCCGGGAATACCTCGTCGAGGAGGGCCCGACCCCCCGAAAGCATCACGCGCTCCCCGAGGTCGGGGCTTACGTGGAGGGCGACGCACTCGTAGCTCTCATTGCGGAGCTTGGAGTCGTGGTCACGGTGAGGTGTGGTCGGGGCCGAGCTACCCACGTTGTTCGAGCTGGCACTGCCACGTTGGAGCGATTGGTCCGGTGGTGGACTTGGGGTGCTCGAGGACGGGGCTCCTCCATTCTTTATGTTTTCCTTTTTCATGAGCTCGAGCTGCCGGATCATGGCTGTGGAAATGGGATAAATGACATGGTTAGATCGCTCGGTTTGCGATTATCGAAATTTCGGATTGTGATCGATCTTGGTATTAAAAGCATTATTTATTTAATTAACGATTGCGAACGTTAGTTAGTTAGTAACTTACGTGCGATGTCGAAGTATCGCGCCTCTTCGAGTAGTAGATCGATGTCGGCAAAATTCTCGGGTATTAATAATCGGGAATTTCGCATAAAGTTTAATATATGTCTGAACATTCCACCATCCCGATCAATGAAGTAGTGTTGCTTTAATGAGTCCAAAACTATGGGAATGCTGCCATTGAATAATTTTGCTAATCTTGATTCGGGATATCTAATAACAAAAAAAAAAAAAAAAAAAAAAAAAAGGAGAAAAAAAATTAAATTAAATTAAAGTATGGATTTTAAACGAATTATCAAATTTTCTTTTCAATTAAAGTAATTGCAAGTATGGAGATGTTCTATATTCTATAAAAACTAAAATTACGAATATTATTTTAATTAAATTTTTTTCTTTTTCTTTTTTTAAATTACTAATCGTACTAATCGAATAATAATAATTAATCCGTATCGTAAAGTGTTATTTCATTCGGAAATAATTATATTACATAATATTACACAAATGCTTTGGCGTTTGATGAAAATACTAACATTATGTATTAATGAATCAATCGATAAATTCAGCTATGCTATTTAATTATTATATTTATCACTATATTTATGAATTTCATTGGTTTAATTCATTGATTTAACTTTTGTATTTAAGACGACAAGAATTCAAGCATTTTGAACATTGTGGTGAAGTTCGAAGTACTTATAATTTATACAAGCACGCACGCACACACACATATATTATTCAGAATCATTCATTATATCCAAATAATACATCTTTCTAAAATTTCCGTCTATTTTTGATATGTGATATATTGTTTATTGTTGATAAAAACACAATAACATAATTATCTTAATTAAATATCGTCAAATAAATATCTATTGTTAATTTAAATAATAAGTAAAATTGCTTCGCATTCAATCATTTTCCAACGAATTCTTAACGATCCTCTAATTTACTAATAGCAATAATTTTAATTAATTTGTTCGATTACATTGATGATAGTAGGCTTTCAATTCTTACAAACCCTCAGTCACTACTGCCTAAAAGGATATTTTATCAATCTCAACCGATATTTTATGCAATTTAGTACACAGTAAGGGTAGTAATTAAAAACAAACTGAAACTATTTTCAACCATTTAAAAGTATGCTCGAGAGAAAATGGCAAGATTGACTGAGAAGCCATTTGGCGTTTTAAAACTCGAGAGAAGCTTTTAAAAGTTTGATTATACATTTTTGAAGGAGCAGGTGACCACTGCTATATCGGCACCTGTCCTGAAAATATCCAGGAGATATAAATGCATCGGACCAATTGAAATGAACAAAGACAGCTGTGCTCGTCACGGTTCCCAGTAAACCCATCATTTCTTTAATTGATGATGTATTACTTTTATAGATTCGCACTTTTCGTTGAGAGTATCGATTGTTTTCGTTAAATACTGGTATTCCCGATGAAATGGACAGTAAATATTGTTTTAATGTAGAATCTTTTCTTATGGACAATACTGGTAATGAGTAAATTCATCCCAGTATTGTGGTATAATGATGATAGTTGTTTTCATTTACGTTTATTATGGCATTTTAAAAAAATCATTGAAGTCGGGGTAAATGTTTATTATCTAAAGAAGGTATATGAAAATATATAAATGCCTATATTATCATACATATAAGGAAATAGAATAAAGATTATGAATACTTGGGAGAAATATTAATTTTTGTGAAATATTTGAAGAATTTTATTCCACTGAATATTTTAAAACAAATGAAATAATTTATTGCCATTACAATATATATATATATATATATATATATATATATATATATATATATATGACTAAAGGTACATCATCGTTAAAATCATTAAAAAATTCATGCAGTTTTATTTGTTATATCTAAATAATAATTTTCCATAGTCATTTAATTAAAGTACCCAGTAGCTATTATTTGTAGTTTATATCTTGCAATATTAATAATCGTATATTGCGAATATAATAATAATAATAATAATCGAAAACATAATAATTCATGAATATGCTGAATAAAAGTAAATAATTTTTTTTCATTAAAAAATAAATGAAATAAAAATGAAGAAAAAATTGTAGAGTTTAATTATTAATCAGAATGGTCGGAGGTTTTTACGTTGAATAAGTTTTTCATAAAAGTGAATTGCAATTATAAGCTTATTGTTTAACTATATTAGGGAGCAGAAATCATGTTCAATATATATAACTAAAAATGTTTAAATATAGCTTAAAACTTAAAATTCAATTTTATTTCTATTTTGTATCAACAGAAAGGATAATTTAGTATTCTAAATTATTACTTGTTAAAATTTGCAAAAAATTTTCTATACTTTAGAAGTCAGGGTGTATTGACATCTATTCAAAATTATTAGCAAATCAACAAGTTTTTAAAATTTATGTCGAAAATGTTAATGAGATGTAAAGTACTCATAGGCTAAAACCGGTTCAAGATCGATTCAAAATCAGTACATTTTTACACACCAGTAAACTCTATAGGTTCAATTATATAATTAAAACATGTATTTTTTTCTGCCGAAGTTGTATTGCTTTTAAAAACACGTGTAAAGAAGTTGAGCATAAATTAGAGGATTTCATTTTTTTTTTAGGTTGAAGAGGATTAAGAATATGATTTGATTTATAAATTTTATTCAACAGTTAAATCTTATTTGTGTGTAATTTATTGATGAAATCAGATTTTTTGCTAAGTATCCTTACCTTATTAAATTATAATATAAGTCATTATATTAAAGTTGAAGAATGAGAAGAAAATTTAATAATTTCTTTTTTTATAAAATTAGCAATATCTTATACATGTATATATATATATATATATATATATATATATATATATATATACATGTATAAGATATTGCTTTAAACATTTTATTGTTAAATAATGGTATATTAGCGCTGAAAATAATTGGTTTGGTTTTCATTTGAGGAGTAGATTAATATTTAAGCCGTCTACAATTTTAAAAATTATAAAAATAAAAATAAAGTTTAAGTAATTTAAAAATTTCAAGGAAACGGAATGCAAATCTTTTAAGAATTAGAAGCAATAAATTCGAAGCCTATGGTTCTGAGATAAACGTCCTTAAAGTTTTAAAAACCGACTCTTAACTTTTATAAGTAAAAAGCTTCAAGGTTTTGCCTTTTTTTTTTTTTTTACTCTTTCTGCATGGTGGCAAAGTTATATGCATTCTTTTATGTTGATTTTTTATTTTTCATTGTTCTTTCGAAACGATTTAGAGGACGAATGCGATTCTTTTTTGGGAATATGTTGTTTCTTGAGAACCTCACGTTTTGCTTCACTTATAATGTGATGTACATTGAATTGTTAAATTTCATATTGATTTTTATCAGTTTTATATTGTTTAAGGGTATTGTATTAACTATTATTAAAATAAAAGATAGAGGGAACAATAACAAGGAATTTTATTAGTTATTTTAGTTATATTTAGGTATTATATTAATATTAGTAGTATTTAAAATTTTTCTTTTCACGTTTGCCACACAATTTTTCGTCAAAAGATATATTCTATTATTAATCTTTTCCTAAAGAAACTTGGCTCGACTATTTATTGCATTAGACGCAGTATTATTAGTAGTATTATATTATGCACGTTTTGTAATCATATTGATACTGACAATAGGAAATAATTTATATATGAGTAATGGAGATTTAGAAAATTGCCGTAAAATTTTTTTCATACCATTAATGTTCATGTTATTCTTACGGCAATAATTTATAATTCGGGAGCTTTTGTTATTGTAAGTGGCTCTACGTTTATATAATTTGTTATATAATTTTATTTATTTTATAGGCGTATTTTTATATTTTTGAATACACTTTTTGTTCAAAGTGATACGATGACATTTGCTTTAAATAATCACTTATTGAAGATCTTTTAAATAATATTCAAATAGTTCGAAAAATATCTTGCATTCAAATATTATATACAACGGTAAATGAATAATGTACAATATTATTATATTCGATAGTTTTCCATTGCCACTTATCTAATCTCAAAAAAGTTTAGTATTGTAAGAAAAGTCACGTGTCTTTTTTTTGGGAAATTCAAGTATTCAAGTGCACGAGTTGTTGAGTTGAAACGTAGTTGGCGGATATTCCGCGACATAAAATACGGATCATTCTCTTTATTAAAAAAAAAAAAAAAAAAAAAAAAAAAAAAAATTGTGTGATGTAAAATAAAGATGTGTATTTAGTCAAAAGAGAATAAAGCAAATTAAATGAGGAAAATTTGAATTTTCCTCTAAAAAATTCTATAGTAGTATAATCCTTTAATCGTAATTGTGAGAGCAATTCGAGTGTATTCTTACCGAGCAACAATAGTAATGATATATGATTTATTATTGTTATATTTAAATGAAAAAACTATTGCCTTTTCAAATAAAGCAGTAGTGAGATAATTTTAATATTCGAATAAGCATGAAAAGAGAAATTAATTTCTATTAATTTATTTTTGTCTTTATATTAAAAAATCGAGGCTCAATTTATGCATGTCGTAAGTGTATTTCTACTCTGGCTCTTTTGAAGTTTATCACTTTCCATCCCGATGGGAAGGTGAAAAGAAATGGAAAGGAAAAGCTTATAAACAGCGCAAATGCTCGAGCGAGTTCGTCACACTTCGACCCTGAGTTACGCGTCAAGGTCGTCGCGGACAAAAACCTGCCGTAGAGGACATCTTTCGTCATGTGAAAATCTTTCGACAAGTGAATTAATAATCAATAACTGTCACAGCAGTTTTTGCATAAATTTCCAATGTTTTATTCAATCTTAAATCGAGCGCGCACAGCCCATATTATTCGTGCTTAATGCCGAGGCGAAATTTTACGATTTTATTATAATATAGTCATATTTATAGATAGAGTATCAATGATTTTTATTAAGGGCAGTTAATATTCTTGAATGACTAAGATGATATATTTAATGGTTTTTCATTATAATTCATTATAATCGCTTTGTTTAATTATGATGAAATGTCGTTTTTGTAATACACACGCGAGCGTGCACTCACATACACAGGCATACACAGGCATACACAGGCATACACAGGCATACACAGCCAGACAAACACACAGACAGTCAATATTATAGTTATATCTATTGATAATTATAAAATTTGCAATATGTTTCAATAGTAATTTCTTAGTCTTAGTTATTTATTAAAATTTAT